TTAACGAGCATTGCTTGTTGGGTTGATCTCGATGAGCAATGTGAGTAAAGTTATCATGATTGACACGAGTATGACTGTGCTAAAGATCTAATAGATCTAACTCGTGTCACCGCTTTTCGTGACACTCTTTAGATCCTTCAGATCAGTAGGATGGAGCCGGTATGGCGACCCCGTCAGAGTCATACTATACCCCAGACTTACCCCACACTTAGATACTAGGTTGACACACTTTTCGTTAGATGATGTGTTAGGCTAGGTTAGGCTAGGATTTAGGGTGCTAGGTGCTAGGTAGTCTTTTTGATGTCTGACTATTATTCTTTGTTGGATTTGTTGCCTTAGCCAGACATATATTCTTTTGTATTGTGCTTATGGTGTGACTGCATGCTGCATATGTATGGTAGTGTGTTAGAGCATTTTTTTTGCAGGGAGTCATGCCTATTTATGCACACACACGAGTACCGCTATGGGGGAGCATGTGATGATTTCTGACTCTTTTGCTTGTAGGTGCTATTTAGCTCACCCACTTTTAAGACATAACTCATGATACATTATTTGCATGTGAGTTTTTCCGTTAACACTTGTTTTCATGCAGGATTAAGTCTTTTATTTTCCCATGTACTTTTAGAGTCTAGGAGAGTCCTGTAGCAGAAATAAGATATGGGCACGTGTTCCTAGGCGTTCGGCGCGGGAAGCACGTGGAGGGACCAGGAGTAGATGCTCGTGCCCCGTATCGTAATTTTGCATTTTATATTGATGTATAAAATTAGGGTCGGGCATGTATATGCGAAGTCTAGCCGCCTTTTTCTTTTCTAGGATATGTTGTCGACCCTGCGACACTGACCTGTTTATTATTTTGATTTGGTTTGTTTTGTCTTTTGCATCATGTTGCGTGTCTGTAATTGCATGTGTTTTCTTTGTTTCTTTTTGTGGTTTATCTGGAATTTCAAGATGAAATATAGGTTCTTTAGAACTTAACTTCCTAATCTTTTACAAATTAATAAATAAAATATTTAAGATAATTAAAATTTAGGATTAAAATACTCAAGATTTAAACATTGCAATTTTACTTTCCTGCATACATTAATAGAGTCTCCACAATATTTAGGACCGCTCTAGATAACTGCATTCACATTTGCTTGTCCCAAGGAGGAGTCCTCATACTTCTCCAATCTGATTGGACCAACATACATTCATATAGGTGTTTGTTTAGTGTGTCTAGGGTGTTAGAGGGCTCCCGACCCAAACGGGGTATAAGCCTTTTGTTTGGAGTGTTTCCAGCTTTGTAGCTGAACCTTCACTTCTTCTTCTTTCTTGAGGCATCATTGCCACCTCGGCAAGTATAAATCTCACCTCTTGGAACTCAAGCTTTTAGTCATAGCATAGACTTTCCTTCATTTGACCTTAGAGATACCGAGGCTCCCGTGGACGACGCAATTCCCGAATTGCTGATCGGGGATCTCAGGACGTGTTGGGCCGACTACCTTCACGACCAGGTAGACTTAGGGTCCTAGTAGTTGTGTATGACGGGTCTGTGGTACCTTGACTCAGTTTTATCTACCTTTTAGGATCACTCTACCTTCTTTTTTGTTAAGCCCCTTTGAGCCCTGTCGCTCATCGACTTCGTTGATATCACATTGACGACCCGTCACTGATGACCTATCACCCTTTTGAGATATGATGATTTGTCCTCTGCCCTTATGACCCGGACGTGCTTTGACGTGTTGGGATATCCCCGTCAAGATGATTTAGGTTATTTCGTAGGCCTCATGTGTCGATTAGCCGCTACCCATTTAGGATGTGAGAGATCCACTCTCTGCCCAGTGGTTTAGCGTGAGCTTTGAAGCATCGAGATTGTTCCCACACGGAATAATCTTCTTTTGATTGCCTATACCCCAAGTTTATGGTAATATGAAACGAAACTCATTTTATCAAGAGTATTATTAGATATCCCCCAAAATGTAATTAACCAGTAGGAACACGTTCTTCTGGGAGTGCTCTTGACCCCAGAACAAGTACATACACCTGACTCTCTGATTATGGGTAGTCTATGTAGATACTTCTTTCGCGGATATTGGCTTAAGGTGCCTCCGCCCGATCTTGTTTGAGCGGACATTCTTGACCTATCCTTGCGAGGTTTATCGCACGTAGACCCTCCACGTTCTACTTTTTCCCTTATTTGTCTCTTTGTCGTATGTCTCTTCTTATTCGGTTCCTCTCCTCTTCGAATCGTCTATAGGGAGGGAGATTTATTCGAACGGGGGAAGTATACGACGATCGACAAGCTGGCGACTCCTTTTTTAAAATAAAAAAGAGAAAAATGAAAAGAAATAAATCTTGGCGACTCCGCTGGGGATGAGTCTCTCTCACCCCTAACATCCGAAAAGACACTAAAACTTAAATAAAACCATAATGAACAATGGTCACCAAAGGCAACTTGAACCCAGTTGTCAAGTCTACAAAGATCTCTTGGACGATGCAATTTGTGGTTGCTGACAAGAATCTTCTGGTCATAGTGGGTTTAATCACCTCTCAAACTAAGTATACTAGTATACCAGACGACCTCGGGATGACGAAATCATAAACATCTTGACCGGGTTATCTAAAAATAAAAAATTCAACTAATTAAATTAATAAAAACACAATTTTGTACTAACTTTGCTTTGCAGGGCCACTGAAGAGAAAACACAAAAGTTATCCTAGATTTAATTTACATGTTATTAGGATGTGTTAACTCTATTTTGTAGGGACGAAGCTTCAAAACTCAAAATCGTGAATTTCAACTAAGCCTTTTACAAAATGACAAAATAAACAAAATAACGAAACAAACTTTAAACTACAAAACAAAACAAAACAATAACAAAACAATAAAAACTCTGACAAAGACAAAACAAATTGTATGATAGTATCAAATCCTTAAGGATCTACTAGCCAAATGATAGGACTTCAATATTCCTTTCCTTAAGAAATAATACTTAAACCTTTCGAGAACAAATTTTAATTTTAATCGGAAGTTTTCTTAAACAGTCTTAACTATTTAAGACGTAATTAATTATAAGAGCTTGCTCTTATAGAAAAATGTGAGCCCCGAAATATGTATTATACTAAATCTCTGGTTGTGAGATTTTTCATATGCTTTTCTTTGCACGAGTATCTTGGGAGTCAAACACTCTAAAGTTTCTTCTACAATGATCATCAAAAGAAAATTTTCTTTTGTTTGTTTCTATTACTATTTGCCTCTTTTGTTTTCTTTCCAACTCCTCATTTCTCAAGATTATCCATAGACCTAAGAGAAATGGTATACATGTAAACTTTTCTGTTAACAATAAAAATCAAACTAAGCACACAAAATACCCTTTCAAGCTTGGGAAAAAATAGCGTACATAAGACGCACGCAGCGCTGCATGCGATACCCAATTAGAGGAAGACACATCAGCTTTGCCGGCCCCACCTTAAAACAAATAGATTTTTTTACCGTGCATGACCCGTCGACCCGACCCGTCATTGTAACATCCATGTAACCCCGATGTAATCTCCGCTGTCACCCCCCTTAACGTGCTTGTAAGCCCTATGTAACCCCGGTGTAATCTCCGCTGTCACCCCCGCTATGACGCGCGTGTACGCTGGATGTAACCCCGGTGTAAGTTCCGCGGTAACGCCCTTGTAACCCGCGTGTACTGTTGTTGTAAAACCGGTGTAACCTCTGCGGTCACTCCCCTGGATGTACACTGGATGTACATTATATGTAACACCGGTGTAACCTAGAGACTGTATCGCACGTGTAATCCGAATGTAATATCCGTGTAACATCGTCTAAGCTGAATCGCCATTGTACCCTTCGTGTAACTTCATAACCACATACACGATATCACCATTTAAATGAAAACAACTACAATAATCTAATTAATACCTAGAAACAGGATGATTGTCCCCATTCTTGGATTGCTTACGACCGCCCTTCACTGTAACGGTTGCCTGCTCGCATTCCGGCTGGTTACCCTCACCCAAATCCGCACCATTGGTCTCTTCCAAGGTCTTCATAGTCTCCTCCTTATCCTCCATTATACTCTTCCCTCACAATAGCAAAAACTCTAACCTTGAAAATGAACACGATGAAGGAACCCTAGCGGCGCGAATCCCTTTTTTCGAATATGATTTCTTACTATGTGATTTTCTTAATTTTTATCGGGGTAAATAGGTTATAAGGAGTTACATGAGGGTTACATCGCAGTTATACCAACGTTACATGCGCAGTTCTATCGAGTTACATGCGCGCAACTCGCTGTTTGCACATAACTCGCTGTTACATTGAAGTTACACGAAGGGTACAATGGCGATTCAGCTTAGACGATGTTACACGGATATTAATTACACGTTCATTACATTGGGGTTACACGCGCAGTACAGTCTCCAGGTTACACCGGTGTTACATATAATGTACATCTAGTGTACATCTAGGGGAGTGACCGTGGAGGTTACACCGGATTTACAACAAGAATACACGTGGGTTACAGGGGCGTTACTGCGGAACTTACATCAGGGTTACATCCATCGTACACGCACAGTTCAGGGTCATGACCGCGGAGGTGACAACGGAGATTACACCTGGGTTACATAGGGCTTACAAGTGCGTTGCAGGGGGGTGACAGCGGAGATTACACCGGGGTTACATAGGACTTACAAGCGCGTTACAAAGGGGTGACAACGGAGATTACATCGGGGTTACATGGAGGTTACAATGACGGGTCGGGTCGACGGGGCATGCACGGTAATCATGCACTGCAAAAAGTCTATTTGTTTTAAGGTGGGGCCGACAAAGCTGATGTGTCTTCCTCTAATTGGGTATCGCACGCAGTGCTGTGTGCGTCTTATGTACGCAAGTTTTTCCCCGAGCTTGACTCGCACAAAAATTTCTCCCAAATTAATGGAAAATAATCCTTTCACCATTCAACAAATTGCAGAAAGATTCAAGATGAAAAAGTTAATTTTTATAACATTCATGCCACATAAGTTTCAAATATTACAACGTTCAAGAACACGAGGACTTAGAATCTCCAACAAATATCAATCAACCAACTGCTTTCAACCAGGCCTAAAAACTAAGCATATTAAGCAGAACAACCCTATTCTGAATCATTCGCCTGAATAAGCGCTGCAATCCAATCTCCAAACCTTCAATCCCAGATTTAACCTGATTCAATTCTTCATCCGCCTTCCTCTGCAAGTTCCCAAAAACGTCATCTTTGCCTGAAATTCGCTCAACAGCAGCGTTCAACAACGATTCCAATCCCACCGCCTTACTCGCTTCACCATTCCCTTCCCCAGAACCTCCTCTCTTCCACTGCATCGCCTTCGGAACCAGCAAGATTCGCTTACTCCAAGCCTTCCGCCTTACCGGCATCTCAAGCAGAGTCAGCAAAAACTGAAGAACGGCCACCGTCGTCTCCCATGACTCCCTCGTCAGCCTATCGAGCATCACCAGATCCCCTTCCTTCTTCACTAATGCTGCAATGACGAATCCCTCTTCCAATTTTTTCAGCGATTTCGAGCAACTTAGGGCTTCCTTCTGCGCCTTCTTTCGAGAATTAACGTGACCATTGTCTCCTCTCCGACGAATAGCAGATTGCAGGTCCAGGACGAAGGACTTCACCGATGCGAGATAGTCGTTCAATGGGGCTTCTATGTCGAGAAGCTGAAGGGAGCAATCGAGCTGCGCTTCAATCCACGACTTATGTGATGGCTGCGATAAAACTTGCTGGAAAGAGGGCAGCCGGAGAAGAAGATGAAGCGATTCAAAAAGGTCCGCGAGGCCTTGCAGTAAGCTGCATAAAGTCGAGAAGGAAGCTCCGGTGCCATGAATGCAGGTTTTGAGGTTGCGAAGCTCCTCTGCTGCTTTGATGGCAATGGGATGAGGAAAGGACGGGGCGCTTATGGATCGAGCATGGCTGGCTGTCTGGAGAACCATGCTCTAGATCTTTGTAGTGGCGACGGAGTGAACGGTATGAAAGCTGGATGGTTATAGATGATAGAGCTGGTTTGTTGCAGGGGTTGGTTCTGCGGGCATTTCATCAAACAGGTGAGTTGCTTGTTTATCTAAGGGAGTTTCGTAATTTGGAACATGTCAGCGGCTTGGCTGGCGCCATGCGGGACTGTGCGAAGATCCAGCTTGCAATCTAGTTGGGATGATACGACAAACACGTTCTGTGCCAGCACCAGACGGAGGTACAAATGGATGAAATTTTATTTTTTATTATAGCGAAGCTTGAAGATATTATCTGTATTATAGTACAATAATGAAAATTTTATATTTCTTTATCTGTATTTAAGTGAAAAAATTAAGTCCTGCGTACATAATTGAGATTATATGAGCGTTATATCGGCATTATATTCACGTTATCCCTTGTAACTTCCATATAACTTTCATGTAACATACAGATATGTGAAAACAGAAGCGCAAAACCTATTTGTATGTTCAGGTAGCTTACAGATAGTATACATGGAGGTTAGAAAGGATATAACGCTAATATAATGCCGATATAACGCTCATATAACTTCCATTATATACGCAGCGCTGCGTACGTTTTACAGACGTACGCAAATTTTTTCCGTACTTAAGGCACGAGACGAGGATAGAGTTTAATAATTGATGGAGTGGTGTGGTGAAACCGTATGTATTCATCAACTAAACACCTTATTAGATTGTAAGTTAGTTGGGGAATGGTATTTATGTTACAAAATCTAGTGTTTATATTTTGAGATACAGAATTGCAATGCGAAAATAATCCCCTGAAGTTCAATGCATTTCAGTAATTTCTTTTTATTTTGGTTTAAAATTGTGTTTTGAAAGTCAAATGAGTTGAATTGGATCAAACGAGCGGAAATGGTCTTGTGTTATGAAAAATTTAAGGGGAAAAAAAACTGACAAGGAGTGGAAAGTGTTTGTCTAATCAATCAACCGTTGAAAGCTTGAATTTGAAAAGATGAATCACAATTAAGTGTAAATTTAAATATAAATCTATCCCAACCACTTGTTCAAGGTGTAGTTTCCCCTCGCTCATCTCCTCCTCCCTGGTGACTTTGTTGTCACCAGTTTGCTTGACGGCAACAATCTTCAACTCTAGTTTTTTGGGAAAGTTGAAGGCAACGTCCAACTTTATTAAAAGAGAACGAGGAAGAGGTACAATCCAAATACACAGTTAGAGCTCACCAAAAGACTCAAAATAACAACTCTAACAACAACTAAATGACCCAAACAAATAGTAGGTTAGAGGACAATAACTCAAAAGAAATAGAAAGGGCAAATGTTGGATCTTGATTTGTCCATATTTCACACCCAAGAAGAGAATAAGCAGAGATAGACAGATGGGGCAGAGACCGGAAAAGTGTACAACGACTTGCCCATCAAGTTTAAACTGAGGTATTTATGAGTTCTTATGGATCTTTTTATATAGTCAATTCTTTATCAATATATGAGGAGTGAGAGAAGGCCAAAGTCCCCTTGACATGAAATAATCTATTACTTCATAAGGGATGCAGTACAATATGAGGATATTACATTTCTAACTCTGTTTTTAATGAGGGTTATACAAGTTATTTTGGATCTTTTACATAGTTGGGTTTGTGGCTACCTGTCGTATTGGGTCATCCAATTTGTAGGTTGTTTAGGTTACTAATAGTCTGAATTGCAGGTCATCCAAGCTGGGTCGGTCGTCCAGGTTAGGTCAGTCTTCACTTTGGATCAGTCGTTCCTCTAGGTCAGTCGTCCAAGCTGGGTCGACTGTCCACATTATGACATTCAAACTTGTTGGTCGTCTAGATTACGGGATCCAATCAGATATTTTTTTATGTATATATTTATTTTATGAATTCTCTTATCTCCTTTAGTGACAACTGAGAAAAGAATAAAACAATTTTAATGTAAAAAAAATTATCGTATCTACACTTAATTGACAATTGAATTATTGAACTTCCTTCATTTTTTATGACTATGAAGTGCTCTATTAAAGTTGCTCTCTTAAAGTCTTCGGGTCAGTAGAACTGGCTCGATCGGCTAGACTTTACTGACCTTTAGCTCAATCAGTGTTTTTCAGTAGGTCGATCTTGCCTGGTTATTGGCCTTATTTGTAACTTGGAGTAATTTTCTTTTCTTGTTGAACATTTGTGAGTAAACGTGCAGATAATTCTATGGAAATTTTTCGAGCATAAGATATTGTGGAGTTTTCATTTGATTTTTTTCCTTTTATTTTTTGTGTTTTACCTCTTACCATATGTTTTACTTTCCTTGTCACAAACATCTTCTTGCTCCTTTCTCTTTTTCTTTTTAAAGAAGTCGCCAGTTTGTGTTGTATACTTTTCTTTTCTGAATAAGTCTCTCTTCCGGATCATGTGAATGATCAAGAGAAGAGAGGAACAGGAAAAGACGGACATACGACAAAGACGACAAATAAGATAAAGAACTTGGAGAGCCTACATGCAATAAACATCGCAAGGATAAGTCAAGTATGTCCGTCCAAAGAAGATCGGGCGAAAGCACCATGAATCAATATACCTGAAAGCATATCTACGTAGACTCCGCACAACCAGATATTCAGTTGTGTTTGTCTGCTCTGGGGTCTATAGTGCACCTAAGGGGACGTATCACAATTGGTAAATTGCATCATGGGGGTTGCCCAAGAATGCTCTTAATCCAAGGAGTTTTGATTACATTAGTAATGACGACTAACACAGGACTATCAAAGGATTGTTATTATCACATAGGACTGCTCCGATGCTTTCAAAGCTCCCGCTAAGCCACGGGGGAGAGAGTAAGGTCCCGTTTGGGGCAGCTTATTAGGGTGCGACAGCGTTTTCAAAACACCGCGACACCGTTTGAAAAACACGATCGTCAAGCGTCTCCAAAACGCTTTGAAACTATGTTCTCCAGTTCTCCAAAACGCTTTGAAACTATGTTCTCCATTTCTTTAATAGGCGGGGACACGGGATCGACCCCTCGTCCCGCGTCTCCTTCTCGTGTTGAGTTAATAGTTACTCTCGTGCCCTTCTGCTCGACCTCGCCCTTCTCCTCTCCAATCTCTCTTCTCGTCCTTCACCTTTCGCTGAGATCGACACCGTGATTCCATCTTGATCAAAAGGCCGCCAGGAGACTGAAGTCGTGCAGATCGTTGCTTGATCAAAATGCTTTCGATTCTTCATAAAACTGAAAGCATGGATTCCTACACAGCTCTTTCCTACTGATCGATCTCCACACAGAGTTCTCTTCTTCCATTCAGTTCACATACATAGCTCTCTTCTTCCATTCTTTTCGCAGAAGATCTCCTTTCTTCCATTCGATTCACACGGAGTTCTTTCCTTTCGATCGATTCGCTCGCGAGAATCTTCAACCAAGCAAGTAGAAACTCTTCTTCCTTTCTTGAATCATATGCGATCACTTGAGATCTCTATTTTCAATTGTCTATTGTATGAATTGCATGCTTTCGGTTGGCATTCTCGATCCTCTTCTTTTCCTTCTTGATTTATACTTTCTTGATGGTTTCCACTTACCCAATATTTCTGAATTGCGGCACTCACTCTTTTCGTTTCTTAATTTTCAAGAATCCTAGGTAAAATGTCGGTGTTAAAACTCTTTGTTCTTTTTCACTCAAATTAGCTAATTAATTGATTTTTTTAATGGTGTAAGACAGTTGCCAATCAAGAGCTACTTCTTGAACGTATTCATCACTGCATAGTTTACAAAACTTGACTTCATGTTCATTTTTTTAATCATATGCAGAAGTTAGCGCATAATTTGATGTGTGAATAATCATTGTATTAACATCTGGAGTATGCTATGCTCACTATATGAAGGGTTACATTCACACAATAATTAAAATAGAAGCCTTATTTTGTTGCCTTCCCCGAAAAGCATGACATTTTCATGAAACCCTTTAGTTCTTACTCTATCTACTGTTCCTTATTGAACGTTTTAATTTCTTTACTTTTAATTGTAATTGTACTTCTTCTTATTTTATTTCTTTTGGTACTCACAAAATGGTGAACAATGTATTTTAATTTTTATAACTCAACTGTATTAGTTCTATCTATTATTTTCCCCATTCAGTTCTGTTGCAAACATCTTAAGCAAACAGGGGCATAATGGTCATTTATCCCATAACTGCTCACAATAAGTTGTTCTGAATAAGCTACCTCAAACAACAAGACAATTTATTTTGATAATCTGCAGATTATCAAATAATCAACAGCTACCCCAAACAGACCCTAAGTCCCCTACATGGGTAACAAATTCATCAGCATACGGAGCTTGTGAAATAACAAAATCATCCCGACGGGGAATCCCGAAATGTCAAAGCACATCCGGACCATAAAGACAGAGGATAAATCGTTGTATCTCAAACGGGCAACAACTCATCGTCAATCAGGCCGTCGAGATGATACTACAAAATGCAAAAAGAGTGACATGGCTCAACATGGGTAGTCAAAGGAAGGGATGAGTAATCACTAGAAGGTAGAAATAGTCGGGTCAGGATACCACGAACCCGTCCTCCCAAGCTACTAGGACCCTAAGACTACTTGGTCGTGAAAATAGTCGACCCAACACGTCCCGAGATCCCTGGTCAGCAATATATGAAATGTGTCGTCCACGAGGAACTCGGTAGCCCTAAACTCAAAGAAACAAAACTCTATCCTATAAATACATGTGGAGCTCCAATATGTGAGACTTATACCCGCCGAAGTGGCGCGAATGCAGTTGGAAAAGAAGAGAAAAAGAGGTTCAACTACAAAGTTGAAAACACTCCTAATAAAAAGACATACAACTTGTCTGGGTCGGAGAGCCTTCCAATGACCTAAGCACACTAGGCAACCATCTAAGTAGAAATTTATCCTGGGTCACTCGAGTTGGAGAATCACAGATGCTTCTCATCGAAAAATGCAAAATCATGCAGGTATCTAGAATGATCCTTAGATATTGCGGAGGCCCTATCA